TGGGACGTTAAACCTCCGTAGAACCTCCAAAAGATGGCGTCACCTGGTCCTGCCACAAGCTATGAATTCCCTAATGTCTTGGAATGTTCTGAGTACTGTGTAGGCATATGAAACTGACACAAAACATCAAAAACACACGTGCTCTCAACATGGAAACTCATCGTTTATCAACAATGAAATTGGGTGCCCGCGGACAATACTCGAAAATGAAGCTCCATTTCCCCTTGAAAGGAGGCTATCGCACCGATACGCTGCTATAATATGACTACCTGTGTGTGTCAACTGCTGTCGAAGTTTTACTGCGAAAGCTTGAGTTTTGAGGAAATTACGTTTAAAAAAGTGAAAACGAATACTTCACTGCACGGTACTGTATATATGTAGAAGGCACGGTGCTCATTGAAGGAAGAGAAGAAACAAAAAGTGCCGGTCTGCTAGAAAATCTTACACTGGATTAGTTGAACCAGGGCTCGGCACCTGAACAATATGAGCATTCGTGTAGGCAGCCACCACCATTTCTATCATTCCCTCCAGACCCATGGCATAATTGCCGCTTTTGAAGTGCCCTGAAAAGCATGCCTCTGTTATATCACATATAATAATTACACAGACTCTTTGACAAGGGATCCAATTCCTCTGCAGATCTGTCACGAAAGAGAGCAACAAAAACAAGCAAACGAGATGTTTTTTTTAGAAAGCCGTCCAATGACTTTACACGATGAGTTTCAAAAAAATACAGAAAAAAATCACAGAAGCCGCTCACCAACGTTTCGCTCGAACGCATTCTTGAGGGTGTCTTTGGAAATGCGAGCGTCCCGCCCAGCAACGGTGAATACCTGCAAAGAGCGCTGTAATGAGTAGTTTGTTAACGAATTTCCAATCATTTCTTGTTACAACATTTCGGTTTCAGCCATGAAATCAAGGGCACATTTCGTGATTGAACAGGAGTAGGTCATTGCGTTCGAAAATAAAGTAATTGCGACGATGAGCCCAAAACTGATGAAAGAACGCGAAAAAGAATTGCTGAACACGAAATCGTACTGCGCTCCTCTCGATTGGACGGGATATGTTTTCCTCTCCCATCACAACCTCGCTGCTTTCTTCACTTGCTCATGGAACCGATCACCAAAACCACGCCCACTTTCAAAGGCAGTAACTCATACTTTGTCTACCATGTAGCGGCATACAGATCTCCCTTCTGAAAAAGTTTGAGAGACAGTGCTTGTGACTGTTGTGAAACGAAAATACCAAGTGCTGCCAATACAACACTATCAGTTCATTGTCTTCAATTTCGAAATGCATGCAGCCTGGCAAAATTCTTTCCTGAATTACCTGTCGGTCCTGCTTGGAATTCACAATAAGAACCATTGTATCGCAGCTGGACACGTCCTAAACTAGAACATAGGTAACACAAAAATGATAAGAGCAAAGAATTTCACTTATGAAATCTAGAGATGCTGCACTCAAAAATTTCCGTGTAAAACCTCTGAGTAGGACGAAAAATAATTTTTATCTAAATTAAGTAGCCATCTACAACTCTCATTGAAAATCTTAGATGCACTTTGCTTCATAGAATTGTTGCGAAGGCTAGCCATTGTTCCATTCTCCGAAGCAGTACCCCTTCTTTTCAAGCAAATCTAACAATAACCTCTCCTGAAGGCATGGATGATTTGTGCGTGATCTGACATCACGAAGTATGAGTAAATTGGGTTAAACCATACTTGTACCCACTTTCACACTCATATCTTTTCCGATTCTTACATTCACGGGAACGTCCGCTCCTTGTCTTCGAATTCGTGAGCAAATGTTATAGGGAAAAATTCGGGATGGTGCAAGAATTTAAGACAAACAAAGAGGCTCTAATGGAATGAAGAATAAACTGAAGAAAATGGCACAGAACCCGAAAAATGGGACCCCTGATTCGTCGTTTGATCTCCTCATGGATGCTACCCTCTTTTTGCTGCTCTTTTCAACGTCATCGTTCGCTCTGCTAGACTGCTAGAGTCAGCCATACGGCGAGGCGGTGGATGGGCAGCTGCGCGAGCGGCGCGAGTGTTGCTCTACTAAACCTCTGAGCATTCTCTTCGCCGCGAACGCGCATCGTTCTGCACCATGATAGACCGCCTGCCTTTCGACTCGGGATATTTCCGGTTTTTTGACCTCCAACCTTATCGTGGAATTCTTCTTGGAGTGAGGTCTACAATAAAATACCTCTGAGAGAATGCAGTCGCTAAAGATTAAGACTCTAAGCTGTTCCGCAATCTTGGCCTACTGCTAACCAGAATCCGCTACTGAGAAGAGCTTCTAAGATTTTTCGAAATAAGAGTGAATCATGGAGACATAGCAAAAGGTATCGCCTCTTTTGTGAACCAAGTAAACCTTTGGTTCCTTTCATGAAGTTTTCGAGCTTGAACCCAGATAGCTACTCTTCGTGATTGTTAAGTTTAGTATTGGAGGTCGAGGTTAGCTGTGAAGGATTTCGTGATCAATTCTATTGACAAAAACGGGAGCTGTTCCAAGAAATTGGGTGATAAGCACTTTTTACCTGATAATTCTGGAAACGTCTTTTGAGGTTGTTGGCGAATTTCTCGATATCTACAGGTGCTCCAGGTACGCTTCCAATTTTGTCCATAATCACTAAGAAGATCTGAAAAAAAAACTGATAGCATTCGACATGTCGAAAAACGGCCAGTCATTAGCCTTTCCCCTTCATCACATGTCCTCACAGTTAAGTGTACTATATTTATTCATATCGCCACGCAAGTAACATAAAGATTATAATAGAAGCATAACGCGCAGTGGTCCAGAAGAGATGCCTCACACTTTACCCTTTCAAGCCCATTGAGCACGAAAATCGAACTTACGTCGAGGTTTCGCTCCGGTTGAAATGCACAAGCTGGTGATGTATTGCGAATGCCAGAAGTGATTGGTCGGAACTGCAAACAATTCTATTTTTCCGAATAATTTTGTTATCCTGTCTTTCTCTACATATCTAATTTTTCCAAGGTCACCTAATGCAGTAGTAAAACTGCCCTCTTCCCATCAATTTGTCCTTTATCCTTCACCAGTTATGCAAAACATACCTGGTTGATCTTTTGCATGAGGCGTACACGATCTTCATCTGCAAGCACGGCGGACGGGTCACAGACGTTGCTGGCGAAAGGTAGCCGACACGTGAGCGGATCCAGTCGTGGATCTGGATAGGTTTGCGATGTGTACTGACCGGCCGCCATACCAATGATACTGAGGAGCACAAAAAGTCGCATTGCCTTGGAATTGCTCGATTCCTCTGAAAGAAATCTTGCGAAGGGTAATGATATGCTTTGACCATCGAGAACGTGTAAGGACGTATAAAATTCAGGACTCAGAAAGATCTGACATATTGAAAAGTCGCGTAAGTTGTAAAGGAAGATTTCGTGTAAGGGTGAAAGATCAGAATGAAGAGGGAGAAATAGAATCTTTGGTTTATCGAGCCTTCACAAGTTTCCACTGATGTTTGCGAATCACAATACCAATCGCAGGTAGGATGGATCCTTTATGTCATCCCTTGCAATGCCGATGTGACCCCTGGAGGGGATTCTGGTAAAAAAATTCACTTCCACAGGCCGAGCTAACAGATGTTCCGAGTACTGTTTTCAGAGCTTTTGAAACACATATTAACCGGAGATTATTCCGGTTTTTCTAGTTTCTGCCGTCCTGCATGCTGGAACACGACTGAGATGAGGCGTAGCGATGTCAAATTTGATGTCAGTGATAGCAGTCGTTTGGTCCCGCTCATTAAAATATCAGAATGCATTCCATACTCACCCCCCCCCACTCCAAACGTGATGGTGCTGGGTTTGAGTCTAATGAGTGTGCATGCTTTTCAAAGGCAAGCCCCCGGATCACATTGGTGTGGCTCTTGCGCACGAACGCGAATGTATT